TTTCATCTTTGAATCCTAACTCCCCAGGGCCCACATTCCAGGAATTCACAAAGCCCTAATAAATCCCTCTCTCTGTTTCTGTCTCTCTGTCTGTCTCTGTGTGTGTCTGTCTCTGTTTCTCCTCTCTCAGTGTCTCTCTGTCTCTTTCTCTGTCTGTCCCTGTCTCTGTTTCTGTCTCTCTCTGTCTCAGATTTCTCCTCTGCTTGTCATTCCTATAACCCAGGCCTTCCCACACTGTCATTGCTTTTTATACTTTCCATCTTTCTGCAACTATCTTCTGGGCTCCCTCCTTCGTATAGCTTCCAGGCTTAAGGCCTTGGTCTCTCATAGGGGCTTCTCCCTTCCCTGCTTAAAAATTATCCCTGGCTTCCTACTGACTACTTATGAGATAGAATCTCCTTTGCCCAATAGAGAATGCCCTCTGTAGCTAGGCTCCAACTCATCTCTCCAACCTGCCCTCTCCAAATGTCTCTAACATAGCCACCCCCCCCAACCCCCCACTCCACTTTACTCATCTCTCTGGTACTCCAAATTCAACTTATCCTTCAAGGCCTGTCTCTTGGGTTATCTCCTCTGCCTCCCCCAGACCTCAGCCTGCATGTCTATACCTCCACGCAATGCAGAATTTTAGCAAATGCCTGTTGCTTTTTGTCCAGGTGTATGTAGCCTTCCTCTCCCCAAGCGGGTGGTGAGCTTCTTGGTTGGCAGCCTCATGCAGGGGCTGGGGAGTGCCAGACTGAGAGTCAGGAGCAGGGTTCCAATCTTGCCTCGGACCCTTGCTAGTTGTGGGACTCTGGGCAAGTCACTTCACCCCCTGAGCCTCCTAATCATCCTCTATGGAAATGGTGATTACAAGCCTGCATCACTTCCCTCGCTGGCCTGGAGGGGGACTCAAGCCAGATAATCTAAGGACCAGAGCTTTGCCTAGGGAAAGTGCTTAATGAGCATCTGGATTCTCATTGGCCAGTGATGGCTATGTTGTGTCAGGTTGCAGCATAGACTCGGTGGGGCTCTCCCGGAAAGCCCCTGCTACCTCCTACATGAGTTCTGACCTATTATTCAATTTCTTGAGAACTTAACATGTGTTCCTCAGGGCTTTCTGGATGGACAAATGTGCTTTGAGCATTGGTGGGGCTGGGATTCCCTAGAAATGATGCCTTGGCAGGGTGGGTATAGAATTGACCTTGAGAACTCAAGGAAGGCTGCATTGTCCTTTCCTTCTCGGTAAATTTTGTAAGCAGAAAATAGGAGTCAGGCTGCTTGGTCCTCCAGAGGTTTGGAAAACCCTGGCTCCCTGAATGCTGCTCCCTATGGTTGTGGTGGAGCCCAAGTCTCTAATTATTTCCTCTGGGCTTCACTTGCTAAGGGTTCCACCAGCACACCTTGACAGTGCCCGCTTCCTGTCAGGTTGGAAAACCAGAGTTATTCAGTGACCACAGAATACATCTCACTGGTGATGAGCTAGTACTGTCAGCCCAGGGGTTGACTTTGGGACCTACTGCCAGAAGCTTGGCAAGGAAGTTGGCTCAGTTCCCTAGCACAAATTTTCATCTGATGACACTCCTCAGCAAAGCCGAGTGAGGATCAGAGCCTGAGAAATAGAAGGGACCTCAGAGGCCTTTTACAAAAGAAGAGACTGAAGCCCCAAGGAGAGAAGGGAGGAGGCTTGCCTCAGGTCTTATAGGTGACAAGTGACAGAATGAGGGAATGAGAGTTCTGATACCAAATACTCTTTCCACTCTACTAGCCTGCTCAGCATACGGGATCATGGGGTCCAAGCTGGAAGGGAGTGTAAAAGTCTTCAGGTCTTACTCCTTCATTTTAGAGCTGAGCAACCTGAGGCCCTGAGAAAGGTAGGGAAGTGACCCAAGGTCACCCAGGTAGCCTGTGGCAGAGCCAGGATTCTAACTCAGGTCCCCTGAGACAAGCCCTCTGCAGCACACCATGGCCCCTGTGGCAGTCAGACTGAGTTTCACCAATTGCTGGCTTGTGGGCCTTTGCCTCTCTCCCAGATGTCCAGCACAACCTGAGAACCAACCAGTGGGGGAATGGGGCAGGAAACATGCCTCCATTCTGTTCTAATCCTGGGATAGCCATAATGTTCTTCTCACATTGTGCCCCCTTGTCTGTGAGGAACCACATTACCTTGGAAGAAGGACACAAGCCCACAAAAATCCATGAGGAAGTAGTTCCTACAAAGAGAGGTTGAGACACCTCTTCAGGCTTCAAGGAGGTTCACATGTCTCACTATTAAGCAGACTACCGACTCACTGAGTCACTGAGACCCAGGGCAATGTTTAGAGCATTGAACCCAAGTGACCTTTGAGCCTTGGTAGAGACCACAGTTCATGTTCGAACTCGGAGTCATTCTTCTTTGGCAAGCAAAATAACCTTTGACCCAAGTAGGGTTAGCCTCAGCCCAAACCTATGTTACTTCAGAACGTGATATGCTCATCAGTGATGCAGAAAGAATCTGGGAGGAATAAGGTTTGCACCCAAGTCTGAACTGGAAAACCTAATTCTATTGCTTTGTCCTCTTCCTTCCCAGGGGACTACAAGGTTAAATCCGTCTGTGATTGAATCCATAACACTATTGTGGGGATGGGGACCCACCAGCTCCAAAGCCCATTTAGGACACATGATCCAATGAAAGATGGTCTATCCTCAGAATAGATCATCTCCTCCAAAAGGGTTGGAAGAGACTTAAATGGACCTGAGTTCAATCTCCCCATTTTACAGATGAGAAAACTGAGAGGTAAAAAGACTTGCCCCAGTTAATTAAATCCAGCTTCCCTTAATTCAGCAAACATTAAGAGTCTGCTGTTCCTGTACTCTGCCCTGGGGATCTAAAGCTAAAAAGGGAACAGTCTTAGTCCTGGAGGAGAAGGAAAGCTGGAATGGTTTTCAATATTTTCTGATGAGGGTATTTCAATATAATTGACTTCCTTGTAGTCCTGTCTTTTACTTTGTGCTTTTAAGAGCTTTGTTCTGAGGAGGGTTAATGAAACCCCACATTTATTAAGAACAACAGGGGCAGCTAGGTGGCGCAGTGGATACAGCACCGGCCCTGAAGTCAGAAGGACCTAAGTTCAAATCTGGCCTCAGACCAAACACTTGACACTTACTAGCTGTGTGACCCTGGTCAAGTCACTTAACCTCAATTGCCTTAAAAAAAAAAAAGAACAACAACTACCTGTCATTGTGCTAATTACTGGGGATGTTGTTGTTCAGTTGTGTCTGACTCCCATGTCCCCATTTTATTGGCAAAGATACTGGAGCTGTTTGTCATTTCCTTTTCCAAAAAGAGGAAACTGAGGCAAACAGGGTGAAGTGACTTGCCCAGACTTCACCAGACTGCCCACAGGATCCAGGACACACCAAAGGGCAAGAACCCCTGACTTGGGGAGGCAGCTAGGTGGCGCAGTGGATAGAGCTCTGGCCTTCAAGTCAGGAGGAGCTGAGTTCAAATCTGACTCAGACACATGACACTTACTAGCTGTGTGACCCTGGGCAAATCACTTAACCCCAATTGCCTAACAACATTTTTGGGGCAGCTAGGTGGCGCAGTGAATAGAGCACCGGCCCTGGATTCAGGAGGACCTGAGTTCAAATCCAGCCTCAGACACATAACACTTACTAGCTGTGTGACCCTGGGCAAGTCACTTAACCCACTGCCTAGCCAAAAAAAAAAAAAGGACCCCTGACTTGGGAGAGACAACATGAACCCAAGCAATTTTTTACAAGTGGGCCTCAGGAACATTGAAAGAGGAGAGGATGCAAATGGCTGAGGCATGAGGGAAGGCTATAGGAAGGAGGCTGACCCCAAGCTAGGGCTTGGAGGAAGAAGATAAGGAATCCAAAAGGCAACGATGAGGAGGGAATACCGCGCACTTAGAGTTCAGGGATTGACTAGTCACAAGGTTTGCTTGAAACACAGAGCTAGCACATTGATGGGATGACTGTGACAAAAGGCTGAGAAAGCAAGTTGGAGGCCGACTATGGCAGGTCATAAATAAACAGCAGACTAAGGAATGTATATTTTAGCCTGCAGGTGCTAAGAAGTCATGTAAAGGTTGTAAGTGACATGATCAGACATGGGCTTGGAGAAGATTATTTCAGCAGCCCTACTGGGAAGGCTGGAATAGAGAAGGAGAGAGCTGGGAGGCAGGAAGATTGATGGGGAGAGTGTTACAACAATCCAAGAGAGCAATATGAGCAGAGAGAAGTGGCCGAAGTCCAGAGATATTGCGGAAGGAGAAGGGACAGGACTCAAAAATGGATTGGACAGTGGACTTGAGAGTCAAAAGTGATGATGAGGTTTCAAATCTGAGTAATTGAGAGGGTTTTGAAACTTTTTGACCCTACAAAACCTTCATGAAAGGTAAGGAGCCAAATTGCATTACTTTAATTGAGCAAGAGAGATTCAATGTTGTATATGCATACCTGGCAAATAGTACCAAAGCTCATTTTATCCAAACAATCCATATCTCCACAAGCAGGAGTTAAATAAGATGAAATAATTGTGAGAACGTTAAGATTGAGAATGGAGATTTTCACAAAATGCCTCTTCTTCCTTTTTAAGTTGTTCCTATCCAGGTATTGGTGAAAAGAAATGGAAAAAAACATTTCCCTCCTTTGGGTGGCTACAGGCTGCAGGTTCTCAAGAACATTGGGAATCACCCTTGGGAACAATGCACCACTACAAGGTGAAGAGGAAAGAATGTTGTGGTAGCCGAAGAAGTAAAAGAACCTAGATGCCCAAATAATAATCGGACACAAACTGACATTTAGAAAAAACAAGTCAGTAACTTCCCATGAGATCCAATCCTACCGATTTTACAGCTCTACAGAACCCTGACAAGCATTCATGGAAGTCTGTGTCAGACAAGAGATGGTTTGACTAACTGTGCCATTTGGGGATCTGAGCACGTTGGTTATTTCTCAAGAACTGTGATTTCCCATTGTGCCCTCTCTACCCACCTTCCCATGAGCACTATGAAATGAATTACCAAGAGATTGGCAACCACACCAAGGTGACTGAGTTCATTCTTGTGGGTCTGTCCCATCAGCCGTCATCTCAGATTGCCCTCTTCTGGACACTGTTGTTTGTCTACGTAGTGACACTGCTTGGGAACAGCGCCATCATAGTTGCAGTGTGGGGTGAGTCTCAGCTTCATACACCCATGTATTTCTTCCTCAGTAATTTATCCTTCCTGGATCTTCTCTTCTCCACAAGCACAGTCCCCCTCATCATGATGAATGCCTTATGGGATTTCCCTACCATCTCCTACAATGACTGCTTTACCCAGCTTACCTTCAGAGCCTTCTTGGCACTGACTGAGTGCTTCCTCCTTGCCATCATGGCATATGACCGCTTTGTGGCAATCTCAATGCCCCTGCATTATTCTGTGGTCATGAGCATTAGAATCTGCAGGGGACTGGCCTTAGCTTCCTGGACAGTGGCGCTCTTGGTCACTGTAATTCCAATTTTGACAGTGCCTGTGAGTTTCTGTGGGAGAAACGCTATTAACCACTTCTCCTGTGAAGTCCAAGCCATCTTCAAATTGCTCTGCTCAGACACCACCTTGCTGGAGGGTCTGATGATGGCTTCTGCCACCATCTCCATGCCAGTACCTTTGGCTTTCATCTTGGCCTCCTACCTGCACATTCTTGTCACAGTCCTCAGAATTCACGCCACAAAGGCTAGGCTCAAAGCCATTTCCACCTGTGGCTCCCACTTGACCACAGTTGCCATCTACTTTGGGACACTCATCTATATTTATTTGAAGCCTCAGAATAAAGAATGTCAAGATCAAGACAAAATCTTCTCCATATTTTATGCAGCTGTGACCCCCATGTTAAATCCCCTTATTTACACCTTAAGAAACAAAGACATGAAATCTGCCCTCAGGAAAGTCACCTTAAGGACAAAATCTTGGTGTAGATTTCATGATGATGCCCTCCAGTGGACAGGCTAACTTGGGTTTGGTACTGGCTGTGATGGCATTGGGTTTGTAGGGTTGAACATTCCCCAATAAGTTATTGGGCCATGGGATGCCCCAATCATGTAAAAAAATCTCCTGAGCACATTAGTACTGCAATAGGCACTATGAGGAGATACAGATGCACAGGATATCCTTTGCCTTCCAGGAGGTTACAATCCAGTGTCAGGGCTAGGTGGTATGGTGGATAGAGCCCTGAAATCAGGAAGATATATGTGTGACTCTTGCCTCAGATGCACTTCAACTGTCTGAGACTAAGTTTCTTCATCTGTAAAATAAGGGCATTGGATTGGATGGCCTCTAAGGTCCCTTCCATCTCTAAATCTATGATCCTATGAACTTGGACACAGATAAGCATATACTGAGGTAGTAAGTGGAGTGAGTTTTCATAGAACTCTCAACTCTGTAGGAAGACAAAGCCATTCATCACAGCTTTTTGCCATCTCCCTGAAAACCATGAGGCTTGAACTGAAGCCCATCATAGCTCTTCTAGGTTCACCTCTTTTTTGTCCTCTAATTATAAACCATTTCCATTATCCCCTTCTTCATTGAAATCCATTCTCAGTAAATGAGGCAGTAGACTATAAGCCCCTTGAGGGTAGGGACTGGGTCAATTTTTTATCTTTCCTTAGCATCTGAGAGACAGTGTGGAATGGTGGAGAGAAAGGAGGCCAGGGAGACAATACTGGCTGTGGGACCCTGGGTAAGTTACTAAGTCCATCAGTGCTCTGAACCCACTATCTGAGGCTGTAGGTGGATGAAAAACAGCTGCTGATTTACAGCAATAGAGGGACTTCCCTTCCTGGCAGTTCCTTCAGTACCCAGGACAGTGACAGGCACATGGTAGGTGCTCAATAGATGTTTATTGAATTGGAGTTAGTTGACTTTTTTGTCTTGGAAGAATTTGAGAACTGGCTAGCCATCTTCCCCCACTGGAGGTTAGTTCAGCTTCCTGCCCCCCAAACCTCCAACCACCTTTGCCATTGACTCTATAGGCAAGAGCAGGGCTCTTTACTCTTAGCTCATGAAATATTGCTGGCTATTAAGGAGGAGATCAGAGTATGAGGCAAAACATGCAGGCTTGTCAGGATGGACAGTAGTCTAGTTTGGCTGGAACCCAGAGTGCTTGAAGGGGGTAGTGGGAGATAAGGCTCAGCTGGTGAGTGTAATTCAATCCAATGAATGTTGTTTCTCTGCCTACTATAGACAAAGCCCTGTGTGCTAAGGCCTAGAAGAGATAGGGCCATGCAAAATGACAGTATATCTCTCCTTGTGAAGCAGACAGCTCAATAGGGCGACCGATTACTGAAGTCCAAGGCTGAACATGATGAGTGCATAAAGGAAGTTCTAGTCTATGGTACAAAATTATTATTTCTCAGGAAAGGGTTCATGAAGACAAAAGCTTTTCAGCTGGATCTTTAGGATAGGTCAGATTTCCATGAGTAAGGATGAATGGGAGGACATTTGTGGCAAAAGCAATGGCCTAAATAAGGTCTCAGCTATGGGAAAAATAACCCAAGTATGAAGGTCCAGTTTGGCTGTAGAGACCATGGAGCAGGTTTGAGGAGAAAGTGAGTAAGTTCAGTTGAAGGGGGTAGGAAAAGGGAGAGTAGGCAGCAAAGAAGGTAGAGAAAGAGAAGTAGGAGAGATAGGAGAATCAGCAGAGGAGGCTATCTGTGAAGCCAAAGAAAGAAAGGCAACTAGGTGGTATAGACTACTAGACTTTGAGTCAGAGAGACCGGAATTCAGATCCTGCCTCAAACACTAGTTTTGGGCCCCTGGGAAAGACACTCAACCTCTTTTAGACTCACTTTTTTTTTTCATCTGCAAAATGGGGATAATCATAGAACCTACCTCCTCTCCTACAAATTCAAGCATATGCTTAAAGTGCCAGCTCTTGTAATTATTATGCAGAAAGAGGGAGTTGTTGATGCTATTGCATGATGCTGAGAAATTGGTCAGGATGAGGACTGAGAAAAGGTCATTGACTTGGCCATTGAGTTGCTGAGAGCAGCTTCAGTAAAGTGATGGAGGTAGAAACTAGGCTATAAGAGTTTGAGTGGGTAAGAACGTGGATACATCATGAAGAGCCGACTCAGCATGTTTGGTGGTGAAAAGGGGAAGAGAGATGGGATGGAAGTCAGACTGTGAATGACCTTGATTGTCAAAATGAAGAGTATAGACAACAATAATCATAATCTGGGTTGTAGGCTTTGGTTCTGGGCATCATAGGTGGATGGTCATTGATAAGGTCCCAAAGTCAGACCTGAGGTCAAATACCACTTCTGATGCCTCCTAGCTACGTGACCCTGGGCAAGTCGCCTCACTGAGACTATTTCCCCACCTGCATAATGGGGATGAAATTCATAGCAGCTCCTTCCAAGGGTGGCTGGGAAACTCAAATATGGGCAAAACACTTTGCAAATGTGTAACCCTTATGGAAATGTGAATTTTTATTCTTTCCTTGGTCTGTATCTTTTGTACTATATTGTGATTTACTTTGTGTCTAGTTATATGTGTTTGCATTGTCCACCCTGATAGAACATAAGGTTCTTGAGTTTCCCTCATTAAACTGTGAGCTCTTTGAGGGCAGGGACTGTCTTTTTCCTCTTTTTATATCCCCAGCATTCAGCACATTGCCTTGCACATAGGTGCTTAATCAATGTTTATTGATTGATTCTTGAGAGCAGGGATTGTCTCACTTTTATATTTGTATTCTCAGCAGTGGCTGGCCCAGAGTAGGTGATTTATAAATGCTTCTTGACTGGATGCTTAATTAGCAACAAGGAAGTCCATAGCAGGGTAACCAGATTGGCAAAAGGCCTTGCATATATTCTATATAACACTGGGTGGAAGGCACTGGAGAAGAGAAGGCTGGGGTAGGGGAAGTACCAGCTGTGGCCTTCAAGTAGGAGAAAGGTTGTCAAGGGCTTGCCTCTGTACGTTGCCCTTGATGCCTTTCCCAATCTGGCACTCCTAGTCCCACCTTGAGGCCCTTATGATGCAATTTACAGAGCTTCTTGTCTTGTGCCTCTGTGTGTCCCTGCCCCCTTTCAGGCTCTCCTTCTTACCCATTACATAACAGCTGTCTCATTCATCTCAGCAGAGCTGCCAGAAGTGAGAGCTCAGGCTATAAGCATGGGCATGGAAGGAGTCAGTACTTCACTGACTTCACCCAAGCTGGGGCTAGGAGCTAGGGCTGGGGTAGCTTATATTAGGGCAAGCATGGATGTGAGATGTTGACTCGGAGCAGGTTGCTTCTACTTCTCTCAGTAGATGGAGCCATTGGTCAACCCAGCAAAACAGTGTTCTTCAGGAGCCAGATCCTTCTAGGTGGGATCCCATTAGGCCATCAGAGGAGGCATGGTTCTAGAGTCTGGACTGGAGGCCTCTGTCTCAGCCATAATCTTTTCCTGTTTGTAAAGAGCTCTAACACTAGAGAGACTTCACAAGTGTACCATTAAATGTACCATTTTTATTTAGCAATAGAAGCCTCCTATGCTCTACCCATCTTGTTAGAGGGACCATCATATATGACCCCAGCCATAGCCCAATAAGAGGTAAGCAATTGCTTCTCAAATGTCATATAGCAAGTGGCTGCTTTGGGAAACTTGGAGCTCCAGACGCCTCTAGACAACAGGATTATTGTGGCTGTGGTGCCTGCCAAAAGCTCCACTTGTGTACAGAAACCTCCAGAAATATGGGTCTTTCAAAGTCCTGTGGGCCCAAGGGGGGAGAATGTGGGACAGCCTGCTTTATATCTTCCAGCCTGCAGGGGCATCCTGAAGCCAGCTTGTTTTGATGATTATCACTTGGAATATAGTTTGAAATCTAGTACTGCTAAGCCACTTTCCTTCACTTTTTTTCATTGATTTCCTTGTTATTCTTGACCTTTTGTTCTTCCAGATGAACTTTATTACTATTTTTCTAGCTCTATAAAATAATTCTTTGAAAGTTTGATTGGTATGGCACTGAATAAGTAAATTAACTTGGATAGAATTGTCATTTTTATTCTATTGCCTTGACTTACCCATGAGCAATGAACATTTCTCTGATTTTTTAGAGCTGTCTTTATTTATATGAAGCGTTTTGTAATTGTGCTCAAATAGTCCCTGGGCATGTGTTGGCAGGTAGACTTCCAAGTACTTTATATTGTCAATAGCTATTTTTAATGGAATTTTTCTATCTCTTCCTGCTAGTTTTGTTGGTAATATATAGAAATGCTGAAGATTTATGTAGGTCTTTTTTGTATCCTGCAACTTTGCTAGCATTGTTCATTGTTTCAGACAGTTTTTAGTTGATTCTCCAGGGTTCTGTAAGTATACCAGCACATTATCTGCAAAATTTTTTTCTTGTTGCCTATTTTTATTCCTTCAATTTCTTTTTCTTGTCTTATTGCTATAGCTAGCATTTGTAGTACAGTATTGAATAATAGCAGTGATAATGGACATCCTTGCTTCACCCCTGATCTTACTGGGAAGGCTTCTAGCTTATCTCCATTATAGATCATACTTGCTGATGGCTTTATATAGATACAACTTCTCATTTTAAGAAAGGCTTCATTTATTCCTGTGCTTTCTAGTGTTTTTAATAGAAAACATGGGAATAAATAGAGCCTTTCTTAGAATAATAAATGAGATTTTTAAAAAATTCAACAAACATTAAGTGCTTTGCAAGGTACAAGGAAGAACGAGATAGATATGTCATTGATGTTATTCTCAAAGATCTTTGAGTCTAATTGGGTAGGGGGAAGGAATGTTATAGGAACCTAGTCAGAGAACTGGAAGGGACCTCCTAGGTTATCTGGTACAACACCTTCTTGTAGAGGGGAGGAAACAGGCCCAGGAAGTGAAGTGACCTACTTAATACCTTACAAGTGTCAGAGGCAGGATTTCAAGTTAGAGCTTCTGACTCCAGGGGAAGGGCTCTTCCCCCTATACTATACATTCTGCCTTCCCAGACAAGTACACAAATAA